TTTAGTTGAGAGATACTTATCGAATGTCTGTTCCACTAGACTTGGATTCTTTTTCCTACCACGTATTATGCCTCTACCCTCTCTTACAGGAATGATTTCCCTAATGAAAAGATCCCTACCCTGAGAGAAGCCGTTGCAGAGAGCCTGAACCATAACCTCACGATCTTCTTTGATGTCAAGGGCCATGCAAATAAGGTACAGTTTGTACCGCACACTTCCCTTTTTTCAAAAGACATCTTTAAATGCTAGTCATTTCCAAAATTAACTATGTATTTTGTTATCTATTCTTAAATTATTTTTACAAATTTTTTTTTTTTGCTTAGTGGACGTGAACGATGCGAAAATCCACATGTTAAAGGAAACAGTAAATTACAGAACCTTTTAAACCTTTTTACCTTCGATGGAACCTTTTCCCAACTCCCGATATCCTACAACTAGCTAAAGATAGAAGAGTCAGGTTTCTCTTATTTGCAGAAAGCATTTGCCAAAGATATTAAATAAAATAAACAGTTAAAAAAGGCACTTTTCGAACACACCATCCAGTTTCCTCATAAAAAACAACTCAGAAGTTGGACACAAGACCAGTTGCATCTGGCCGATAAGGGTCTTAGATCGACAACTATGGACTAAACTTAAAGAGAACTCCTTTATTTAGAGCTTCTGATACCTAATAGATATTTATCTTTTACATAGATTTATCTCTTCCGTATGATTTCTATCCCTTATGTATAGTTTTTTTATTCTTTGATTTGTTATACTTGTATCAGAAAATTAATATAATTTCTTCAAATATGTACGACATTGCTAAATAAGATTTTAGAACTTGTACTCATAAAAACATTATTGCAATGGAAATCACTGGGGAAATACAGTTCAGGTTACATTTGTTCTCTTATAACCTGCTTTACAAGGACAAAGACTTTCGTCCACATTTGGACAACTCGGGTATTTTCCACCCAGCAGTTAGTATCAGTAATGGCCATCTGTGGGTTGAGAATTCCGATGATGTTGATTTTTTTTTTTTTTTAATTAATCCCAGGATATAGTTGAAACCAGATGTTAAAACCTGAAATGTGAGCCTCAGTGTGTTTTTAACTTTAGTACCATAAACACCTCTAATTTTGAATGCGCTGGCTAATTTAGTATTAGCTAATTGATAATTGTATACTTCTAGGTTTTTCAGTTGGTCTGTACTGACACAGACCAGGAAGGCTTATTTAAAAATAGGGATTTCTGGGCCATTCTGGAAATGTCTGGGGTGGTGAGGTCAAGGAACATGTATTTTTAATGAGCACTTCAAGTTTTGTTGATAATGTGGCCCACTTCTGGGAACCTTGATAGGTCCTGCGTTTTACCCACGATGTACTGACCTTTATACGATGTACTGACCTTTATACTTACTCTCTTAGAATACGTGGGCGGAAGGGAGATAAAATCTTTTTTAAAAATCTAGCTATTTAAGCTTTCCGGTTGGATGTTCACAGGTGGTTTGGGCAAGACTGGGTAGAACATAGTGATCTAATTCACCAGAATGTCCTATAAAGGAACAAGTGTTGGCAGCAAATTGGAGACAGTAGAACACAGGAGCCAAGGTCATGGGCTTCAGGGTCCAGCAGACCGTAATTAAGACTGTCACTCACTACAGCATAACCTCTACCTTAATCAACTTTAGTTTCCTCATGAGCAGAGTGGGAATAATTAAAGAAACTACCACATAGAGTTGTCATGAGAATTAAATAAATAATGTAGGTGAAGAGGTACACGCAGTGCGTTCCATAGTTCATACGGCCAGAAAATCATTTTGGCTCTATAGCTCACAATCCCTCATACTAGTTAGTGAAGGGAAACATGACAAGAGTCATTTCTGTGTTCTTTTTTGTTTTTCGGAATGCATTTTGTTGCTTATATTCCGTTATAGGTATGTGGGACTTTCCAAAAATTAGCAATATTTCAAGAGTTATGACGTAGCAGCATTACATTCGGTTAATTCACTAGAAGTTACACAACGTCAGTGATTTAATTCTATCATTTCTTCTTCATTTATTAGCTGGACTACTACAGAAAGGAATTTCTGCTCACCAGGGGAAGAGTCAGGAGACTTCCAGCTCTTCCCATTTCCTCCCTTGTCCCATCGCTTCTGCCTTCAGATCCATAACGTTTCCTCTTAGAGCACTGGCCTGAGGAAATCTCCCCTCTGTAGTTCCAAGGCTGGCTGGCTCATGCTCCAGCCAGGAAATGCAGAGTGGGATAGAGCAGCGGGTATAAAAAAAGCCTTCTCCCCGGCGGCTATACTAGGGCATAAGGAAAAGATTTTTAAGTTGTGCTTCTAGCCTCCACTGGCCAGCAGTCTGCCATACTTTCCAGAAATGTGACAAAAAGGATGAGGCCCTCAGCAAGATGGTAAAGCAGCAGCACCTCAGCTTTCTCCTTTGCTGCTACATGTGTGAGCTTAAAACGTCTCCCGGTGGATAATGGATTCCATCTCTTCAACGTCCCCGTGTATTAGGAAACTTCTGATTTGTTTGATAGGGTTATACTCAGTATGTAATAATTATTGCCTAAGACTGTTACATTTTAATAGTTTTAAAATACGTGAATCTCTGTTTTACAGGCTACCGATGCTCTAAAGAAAATATATATGGAGTTTCCTCAACTATACAATAATAGTATTGTCTGCTCCTTCTTGCCAGAAGTTATCTATAAGGTAAAATTCAGGATTTTTGTTGTACATAATATTATGTTAGTTGGTGGTGATAATAGCAATGGCGTAAGTAAGCATAAGGAATCGAACTGAACCTGTTCAGAAACTCCTCTTTTAAATTAACAAGAGACATTTAGAAGGGAATGTACTCACCCCATCTTTAAATACCTTGATTCCTCTTCAGCTCCCTTTTTTATGCTCCTTATAGGCTCATTGAGATGACTTTGGTAAATGTCCTCGAAACAGAAAGAAGTATGTATGTAGCTCTCCATCTCACTAAGTCACAGCAGAATATACCTTTAAAAATTCACTCTGAATGTGGGAGATTTTTAAATATGCATAAAAGTAGATAGTAGGACAGTGAGCCTCATTAACCAAGATCCACCATTTCTTTCATAGCCCCATTTATCTTCCCCGGTGTTATTTTGAAGCAAATCCCAGATATCATACCATTTCATCCACAAAAATTATATTAAATATCTTGAAAAAGTGATTCTTTTAAAAAAACATAGCCACAACATCATTATTTCATCCAAAACCATTAACAGTAAGTCCATAAGATTATCAAATATACAATTATATATACATTTTTATTTTTCTCAGAAATAGCATACATGGTGTTTTTTTTTTTATAGATTAACTCATTTGAATCAGGACCCAAGCAAAGACTGCATGTTATCATTTTAAATCTTAAAACCTGCATATTCTCTTTCCTACCTTCCTTGTGATGTATTTATTGAAGAAACCAAGTTATTTTGTAGAGTTTACCTAAGTCTAGATTTTGCTTATTTCTCAATTTAACACATTCTTCTCCTCTGTATATTTCCTGTAAATTGGTAGGACAGCTAAAGGCTTGATCGGATTAGGTTCAATTATTCTTGGCGAGATAACTTCATGGGTGAGAGTTTTCTTCCGTCAGGAGGCACACAGCGTCTGGTTAGCTCTTTTGTCATCGTTAACAGCTGCTATTGATGCCAGTGGCCAGCTCTGTCCCTTTACTGGGGGTTGCAAAATGTTAATACTTAATTCTCTCATTTCTTCGTGTATTAGCTAGACGACTTCTATAAAAAGAAACTCATTTACTATTTAGTTACCCAATAAGCAAATAAATGCTCAATCTTTTCCTTAACTTACCAGTTTCCAAAATAATGAGTTGGTTCTGTAGCGTTCAGCAGCGCCCAACAGAGCATGTATTTCAGGTTTTACGGTGGGAGAGCAGCCTACCCAGGTCTGAATGGCCATCGGGATGAAGAAGGTCTTGGGACTTTCAGGCATTTGAATCAGTGTTTCCCAAACTTACTTGACCACGGACGCCTTTAAAATGGGTGATAGACTCTCCAGAGGAGCATAGAAAACAGACCGGAAGAATTCCATCCTCATCCCCCCATTTCTCCTTTGCCCACTTCCCAGCCCCAGCGCCCACTTTTTTCCCTCTCTTTTCTCTTCTGACGAGTACATTGGCTAAATCTAAAGAACAAATGAGAGATATTAGACTTAAGATAAGAAAATTATTTTATTTTCCAAAATTCCTTTTCAGATGCGACAGACAGATCAGAATGTGGTGACGGCTTTAACTCACAGACCTTGGAGCCTTAGCCATACAGGAGATGGGAAACCACGCTTTAATGCTGTATGGAAACATTCAGTTTTTGTGGTACTGGACATTTTGCTCGATTGGAGCCTGCATAATATTTTGTGGTACCTGTGTGGAATTTCAGCTTTCCTCATACAGAAGGATTTTGTGTCCCCGTAAGTCGGAAGCGTGTTTTTATTATTATTTCCTCCTGACACATTTCCTGATTGTGTCGTTCTTGGAAAGGGTTAACAGTGGACAACCTGGATTAGTTCCCACCCGCGGCGCCCACATGCTTTTAGTAAGCTGGATGCCACTGTCTTCTTACGTGGGAAGGGTTCAGGCATATTTTACTGTTTCCAAAACAAGTTGATCAAATGCACTGGTGTTTAGTGCATTTTAAAGAAAAAAAAAAATGCAGCCAAATTGTGATCAGAAAGATTACATTTCCTTCCGATTGGCTGTCTTTGAAAACCAACCTAGGATCCAGGGCAGAGCCACAGTGAAGGCGTCCTGGGGTGCCCACCTCATTTCTCCCATCTTTCCTCCCCCCCCACCGCCCCCCCTCCCCCATACATCATGGGCTCTGCTCCATGGTTTGCAAGAAACTTTTTGTTCCCTAACCTGGCAACCTCGGAATTTTTCTTTTGGCAATTTTATAGCTGCGTTTTAGCCGATTCTAATTTTTTAAGTTTCGTATTATTTCAGGCATGCATGCATTCGATTCAGTAAGTATTTTGGTATATGCCTACAGTAGTATCGCAAGGTACTGTATTAAGAAGCCGAAGGTGCTGTGGTAGAGAAACAAGGCCATGGTCTGTCCCCATGGAGTGTGGAGTGAAGTGGAAGAGATAGTGGCCAATTAAATAAAAATCCAATAAACAAAATTACAGCTAAGATAAATGCTGTGTCGGAGAGAACAGTGTACAATTATAATTGACCTAATGGGGTGTAGGAGAAAACATCCCCAAGGAAGTGACAACTAAACGAAGATCTGAAGGGTATGTAGGGATTGAGGGGGGCGGGGGATGCAGACCCAAGTCAGGGAGAAATACATGCAAGGGCGTGTGGCAGGAGAAGCTTGGTTCTTGCAAGGAACTGAAAAGCAGTTTTCTGCAGCACAGAAAGGAAAGGGAGCACGTGATAAAAGATGAGGCCAGAGAGACAGGTGGGGCAAGCCAGGTGCGTCCTCCCGTGTGACATTTTTCCGGGGGTCTGGTCTTTCAGGAGCCACCAAAGTGTTTTAATAAGCTGGAACAATGCAGAGGAGGTTCTCACGCTGCGTTCTGGGACATTCCTTCTGACTGCAGTGCGGAGGCGGTTAAGAGGCCCTTTCTGAGCACCTGTTACTGCTCAGTGATTACCATCCTTAGTGACTGTCATCCTGTCCTGGGCCAGTTGGCCATTATTCTAACAGGCTTGCTTTTTCCTCTTTCCCCAGGGACTACTTGAAGAAGTGGTCAGCTAAAGACATTCAGGTTATTGCTTGGACTGTTAATACTTTTGATGAAAAAAGTTACTATGAATCCCATCTTCATTCTGGCTACATCACTGACAGCATGTTGGAAGACTGCCAGTCTCAGTTCTAGACTTTTCCCCAGGGAAGAAACCCATGGGGACAGAAACTGCCTGCCGGCCTCATGCAGGGATACCCATTGCGTTAGCCCACGCCCTGGGGGATCAGGTGACCCACACAAGCAATACTCAGTAATTGCTTTTTTACCTGAGCCAGAGCAGAGCCCAGTGTTTCCACCATGCTCCGTGGACTGCCCGAGCTCCACGCCACTGCTCTTGAAAATCTGGGTCTGCAGAAAGGCACAGCCCTGCCCGGCCCTAGCCGAGGCATTGCACCGAGACCCGGTGAGAAGAAGCACAGGTTGAGTGATGCAGTTTGGGGGGTACAGACGCAAATGCATGGGAAATGCATGATCACTCAGTGTTGACATTTTTAAAACTTGACACATTTATGTAATTCACTTATTTAAAATATTTGTACTCGGCTATGTTATCAATATACGATAGACGCCAAGCTTGTGACCATACTAATAAAATCATTAAAAGGAGCAGTAAGGGAAAACTGTGTGCCAAGCAGCGTATCCTAAGATACAAGGAATTTAGGGGAGCCGCTGTCTCAGTCCACTGACCAGCTTCAGCGCGGAGCAACAAAAATGGCAGGAGAGTCTGGACACCGGCCTGAGGGATGGCTCGTGTTATCTCGGAGGAAGAGCCACAGACCACTAGGGAGCAGAGTAACATTCTTTCAGGCTACTCTACGACGGATGATCATACACGATTAGAACTGGAAGAAACTTCTAAGGACATCTAGCTTGTCCTCACTTTGCAAATGAGAACACCAGAACCTGTGGAAGGAAAGGGTCTTCCTCAGAAATAACGTAGCTGGTGACATAGCAGAGTCTGATCTCGTGATAAGTAAATTTCTTATTTACTATTTGCCTGGAACTTTAGGGATTTAACGTGTTTTCTTAACTCACAAAAATCTTACAGAGTTGGTATTCTCTTTTTACTGATGAGGAAGCTGAGGCACTGCAAAGTTAAAGTCACTTACTCAAGGTCTCGAATTCCTTGGTGCGATTGAGATTCGGATCCAGGTAGATCTGAACCCCTGCTCCTAACCACTCCTCTGCCTTTAGAAAGCCCTTGATTTCCAGCTCCTTCCCACATGAGCTTCCGGGGGTCTTATCAATAGCAACGTTTAAAATGAAGGTGAGTCTTGAAAAAATTGCATAGCTGTCTTTCTCCGCAGCTGCCCTCCCGCAGCCTTGATCACAGGCTGTACAGCTGAGTCATGATTTCGCTCCTGAGTCCCAGTGAGTCACCAGCCTCACACTCAGCGGGCAGACCACCAGTCCACACAGCTAGATGGCAGCGGGAAGCAAACCGATTTTTTGCTATGGTTGGTATTGGCAGTAGATGGGGCTTGGGACATTTTCAATCAACATTGACAAAGACATTTTCTTGAATTTTAAAATTAACAGTAAGACGATTTATTCAATGAATGGAACAGATACCTAAACTGCATGTACTTCAAAAATAAATAAACAAACCGCATGTACTTCTATCCCGTGTTATGACTAACAGGAGAAAGTGACCCCCCAAAAATCTGGACTGAACTCCCCGCTTTGACATAGCTTCGGAGACTGCACATCAACCAAGAAGGAAGGAATTCTCTTGGGGGCAGTAGAGGCGATATCCCTTCTGCTGTGTGAAGCCTCGAGAGCCAGTTTGCTGCCTCTTGACCTTTGTCCCAAATACATTTTGCTCTTGACTCAGCCAAACCTAATTAAAGATTTAGATCCTATGCTAAAGAGGCCTCGAAGATGGAGAATTTGGATGAAGAAAGATGTTAATAGGTACTACTTTTAAGCACTTATTTGAAAGGCTTAGTATAGGGCTTAGAAACAGCACTTGGGATCAGAGAAAGCTAAATCTCATTTCCTGATAAAACAATTTACCATCTGTATGACCTTGGGTAAGTTATCTAAGTCATCTGTAAAACGGGCAGTATTAGTACCACCCCAGAAGGTGGTTACAAATAAATGAAAGTACATGTAAAATGCTTGTTAGTAACATTTATTCACTGCCTACCATGTATTAGACACTTTCACATTCTTTTCATGTGTTTTTTTGTGCAACACCACAAGGTAGGTACTGTTACGATCCCATTTTATATTGCAGGAAATCAAAGCACAAAGTAACTCGCCTAAACTCACACAACAGTAATAGCATAAGGATTCAGGCCCAGATGATACAGTTCCAAAGCCCACACCCTAAACCCCTGCTTAGCATCATGTCCTGTCCATAACTATCACAGTGCCTGTCACATGGTAGATGCTCAATAAATGTTAAGGGAATGAATTATGAGATAATCAGTGGAAACTTCCTTAAGGAAACGAGATAAAGATCTAAAGTGAGATGAAAATTAGGGAGCGTGAATAAGTGATTCAGCATTCGGCAGCATGAAGGGGCCATCCAAAGCCAAGATAGCATTCTTTTCCAAGACAGACAATACAGATAAAGATCCCGTGCTGTTCATTGGACTGCATCTCTGCTCTCAGGATGTTGCAGACATCGAAGGCCACCTCAGAAGGCTTGAGGAATCCGATCCTTATTTGATTAAACAATACTCATTTTCTTATTTGGAGACCGGTGTCTGCAATTCTGTTTTGACGATTTCACCGAGACATAAATATTCTATTTTTATTAGATGCAAATTTCTAAGAAAATTATACCTACCATTTTCCCTAAAGTGAGAATAATGCTTCAACAGGACAGTAAATCACAGCTCTGAGGTAAGGGAGGGTGTGAGCTTACAAAGTGTTTCCAAACATCTACTCAAACCCTTAGCGTGGCGTGATGGTTACTGTAGGGTGAGGTGGTTTGATTTCTTCGATCAAAAATACTGAAGACTTAATGACTTTACGTGCTCTACTACCTAAGTTTAAATTATGCTCAAAATCTAGCAATCTGCAGCACATTAAATGTTAAGAAGAGGCTGGATAGCAGCTAGGCGCAGAGGTTCTCAAAAGATGCTGTCCCAGACATTCTCAACATGGACATAAGGGGAACTTGTTAGAAACGCAAGTCGTCAGAGCCCGTCCCGGAACTACTGATTCTGAAGCTGTGGGTAGGGCTCGGGACCTGTTTCAGCAAACCCTCCAGGCGGTTCTAATACATGCACAAGTCTGAGAAACGCTGAGCCAGAGAAAACCCAAAGTCCTCGATTCTGCCACAAACTAGCTATAAGACAGATAAATCGCTTACCCTGTGTCTGCCTGTCTTCATCATCTATCAGATGGAGATCACGATTATTCGCATTTATCGTCAGCGATAATGTTACGAGGTTGAAATGATACAAGTGGAAGCGTTTTTGAAAAATACGTTAAGGGTGTAACAGTACTGTTATAAAATAAGACGAAAAATGTGGAGGTGCTCTAAAATCATACTCCTCACGACACGGTCCTCGGACCCACAGCACTAGATAGAAATACAGACTCACGGGCCCCCGTCCCAACCTCACACATTAGAATCTGCTCTATAACAAGAGCCCCAGGTGATTCAGGTGGGAAAAGCACCAGGCGGAGAGTTACACTGCACAGATGTAAGGCACTACTCGCATCGGGCAGGTGCAATCACGAGGAAAACAGAGGGCCCCTCTGCTCCACACCTGAACTCTCCTCAGTGGTCTGTGTCACAGCTGATCACACAAGAAGCGCTATGGAAAAGATCAGCTCTCTCAGAAGTTAGAGATAAGTTAAGGGCTACTACACAGAGAAAATTCCTATCAATGAGCTCAATTCTGACCACCTGTCTTCGATTCAGAGGTTATAAAAACATATGCCAGTCTACGCTGTTTTAGCCACTCCTTTTAAATTCGAACTTCACATAAAATCGTTTCGATAACCTCATAAGAAATGAACTGGGCCATTCACTGCAGCCACTTGAAGGATCAGATCCTGCAGAAATTCAAAAGAGCCTATCCTTTTTTAGACTTAAAACTGCAGGGGTTATCCATCTTTCAAGTGATTGTTGGAAGGCGTTACTTTTATCATTTTGAACTAATTAAAATAAGGGTTTGGAGAGGAGGATGGGGACTGTCCCCTGAAGATCCTGACACAATATTCTGAGCTCACCATTTGCCTGTTTAAAAAGTGCCTCAGTGGCTTTCACGGTCAGACAAGTTTGGAAAAGACTACTCTAGGTTCTAGCTCAGTAGTTCTCAGCCCTGGCTTCCCAATGAAACCATCTAGGGAGCATGAAAGAGGAGGCATGGATGCCTGGTTTAGTCGATCTGGAGTGGGGCCTGGGCATGGCTGCTGGTGGACAGAGCCCTGTGTGTTTCTGGGGGCAGCCAGCCTCGAGAGCCCTGATGCCTCATGAAAGTCCCTGACAGGGCTAGGGGAGAGCTCACCCCTGTTAGGGGCTGAGTTGTGGTGACCCCAAATTCATATGCTGAAGTCTGAACCCTCAGTACCTCAGAATGGAACTGTATTTGGAGATATGGCCTTTAAACTGGTGAATAAGTTAAAATTAAGCCACTAGGGTGGGTCCTAATCCAATGTGACTGGCGTCCCTGTAGATGATATTTGAACACGTAAAGCTACACCAGGATGTACATGCGCAGGGGACGACCACGTGAGGACATGGTGAGCAGGTGGCCATCTGCAAGTCAAGGAGAGAGTCCTCAGAATGAAACTGTGGACAGCAATTCCGTGACCTTGAGCTTCCAGTCTCCAGGCTGAGAAAATGAATTTGTGTCGTTGAAACCACTCAGTCCATGGTATTTGGTTATGGCAGGCCCAGGAAACTCATGCATCTCCCATCTCAAGACCAAGTGTTAAAAGCAGCCTCGTATCCCAATGTGTGTGTGAGACCTACAGACTACATCTTTCCATTGTGTTTACACTTCCAGGAGAAGCAGGGGCTGTACAGAAAAGCGGAGACAAGATGGAGGTGAATGAGGATCGAAGCCCTTAGCGTATGGTAAGTAAGCAAAAATGATGCTTTCAGAGGGCATTCAGATTTCCATGTAAGAGCCAAAGATGCACGAACAGCATTAAAATGAAACGGGGGGAATAATCACTTCGTACGCCAATTCCATGCACAGCTTTCATTGACCCCCACAGACAAGCTGTATCCCATAGTCCTCTGGGCTTCTCCTTTAAGCACTTGTCACAATTTAAATCAATTATTGGTTAATTATTAAGTTCCTGTCTAAATCTGCTAGACGATAATAAGCACATGAGGGCAGAGACTGTGTCTTGTTCACCATCTTGGTCACCATTTGGCATGTATTTGCTGAATGAATAAATGAATGAACACTGCTAGGGACCGCTAGCAAAGATGATACCGAAAGAAATTAATTCAGTTGATGCAATGAATTAATGAATAAACGAGCGAATGAAAAAACGAGTCAATGACCGAACACACTGGATATTTGCATTTCGAATGTATCTTACATGTTTTATAAATTCAGTTCCAATTTGGTTCTGTGACAGTGATTACTCAAAAAGGAGACTTCTCCCCCCTGAGTAATTTGGTAATTGTACCTTTCTGCTGGACCCTTCAGTTTTAAGTACAGTCACATGCCTTGTGTGTGTATTACACACATATATATTCTTTCCACACTCATATACATCTATATTCTACACATCATCATTGGTCTCATGTTTGGTTCAGTGTAAGACTTTGCCGGTCACTTATAGAACCTCACGGGGCAGAGTCCCAGTCCACACACCTCCCAATCCCAGTCCGACCCCAGAGACTCATGGACTCAATATGCAGTAAAGTTCAGATGAGACCGCTGGTTATATTTCGCGTCTGGGTAACATGGGATGCCTTTAGATCAGAGTCATGAACAAATGCAAGTTCCACAATCCAGAGGTGTCATGGCGCAGGCTGAGGATGACAGTTTTAGTCAGGCTGGACTAGTCTCAGTGCCAGTTTCCAAACCTTTGCCAGGTCTGGGAGATCCGGGAGGAGAGATTTCTAAGGACCAATAATCCATGTGCACATGTCTTAAAGATAAAATACATCATTCCCAGGTTTGCTCTTCCCAGGTTTTTGTGAACTAGTTGAAATAGGACAAGAATTTTTATTAGAAAATCCCAAATATTTTCTCTTGAAAAATCTGCAATTCGGGGTGAAGTACCAGCAGAGAGTGACCAATTTTACTTCCGGATTGACACTGTGGTCAGTTTCCACCCCTGGCAAATGCTCTGAAGTCCCCTCTGGAAAGCTCCGAAAGGCCCAGGTGTCAAGGAAGAAGTTGTTCCTTTTTCGTCTTCTCTCCTTACTTGATTGGTGTCTGGCTACGACGATCATCATCAGGCCTTTGGATTACCCTCTTGAACCGATCGCCTAAATCTCAGATCTGGGTTTGACACAGAAGAGAGAAGTTAGCATAGACACGCTGCCCCGTGTCTTCAACATCACTCATTCTCACGCCTTCCTTGCCCCCTCCTTTTAAGTTCCTCGCCCCCTCCTTTTAAGTGCCTTCGATGCTCCCCGTGAACTCCCAACACTGGATGGCGTCACTAAATGCTGTCTCCAAAAAGATAGACAGGTTTGTTCATTCCCCTTCTGGCATCAGCTGTAGATTTTCTTGGGGAAGGCACTCTCCCCCAATCTTTGTCCCTGTGGTCTGTATGGTTCCATCTGTATCTATAGAGAAGGACTGTGACTCAGATCTGGCCGATGAAATCATCACATGGCCACAGCCATTGGTCCATGAAGGGCCCGTCACCCCATCAGTGAGAATTCTGGGTCTCCCCTTTTTCCCACTCGACTTGGATCTAGGAAGATAGAAGCAGCTGATAAAGCTGTCTCACAGTCATTAGGAAGAGCCTATTTGAGAAAGGAGCGAACATGGAGGAGAAGAATCGAACAGAAAGAAACGAGGTTCTAGTAACATATTGTGAGTCCCTGCTTCTAAAAGCAAGAATTATTCTTGGGTTTTTGTTAAAGCCAGTTCGGGTCAGTTCTTGCAATTGAATGAGTCAACTGATACATGAGCAATTCTGACCCTCTGTCTTGGGGTACGTCCTCTAGATAAATCTGGTCTTTACTGCCAGTTTGGTTACTCACCATGAGCAGCATCATGTTCCCTGACATGCAAAGGGCTTGGCTGCTGAGAAAGAAGAAAACAGGCAGCCTCATTACTGGAGAATAATGTAGCCCCCTGATCCTGTTGCACAGCTGGTAAGATCTGTGAGCCCCCCACGATTATAAAACTCAGAGGTGACAGATTAAGAACAAGGATCAGCTATAGAAATAGAAATATCGAACATGTTTTGTTTTGTTTTATGTTTTGTTTTATAGGGACAGTGATTCCACTCATTTTTCATTCACTTCGGAGAGATCTGGGGACAGACATGGCCCCTGCCTTCAAAGGGTTTAAGAGTCGGGCCTCTAGACCCGTTACCTAAATCACGCGATAGTGCTAATTACACAGATAGTAAAAGATACAGCAGTCTCTTCTGATAAGACCATAACTTCCAAAACTTGTGGCATATAATTTAAGGTGAGGTTACTGTTTATCCGTATTTTCCAGGACACCCAGGAAGCCAGCATGGGCTCCGGAATTAGAGCAAGTCTCCAATCATCTCTTAACACCCTCTTGGTAAGAATGAAATTTGTAAAATCTTTTTAAGAGAGTGAAATGTCTCATGACACACTGTTTTTAGTCTTTTAAAAGAATCCTGGAAACAACACAAATATTCAAATTCGTACAGACCGAAACAACATCGAAGCTATTAAGTGTGTGGGGCGGGGAGGGGTCGGTAATGATCCCACGTGTATCGTGTAGCCCCACTTTTGTCATGAATAAACAAAAACGTTAGCAGACGCAGTATGTACGCAGATGCCTGGGGGAAAGATCTGGAAGGACACACTGATACAGTGGGGTGACATTTCAGGGCACTTTTCATCTCCACATGCAAGGGCCGTGAGGGCCGAGCCTCTGCCGTGTTCACCACGATAACCCCAGCACCCAGAACAAGGCTTGGCATGGGAAGCGTTGAATGAGCGAGCACTATTTTTTAAATGAAAAATACAGACATGTTTAAACAGAGAAAGTGAAGGGCTCCTATGTGACTTTGGTGCCCTGATGCCCTTTGCACAGGGAGGCAAGTGTGTGTCACAGGGGTCCCACCGCGGCCTCCGGCCTCACCTCCACATCTCTTCGTTCCAGGGCGGACGAGGTGGGGTTTGCTCGCCTCTCAGCATCCTGCAGCTTGGTCAACTTTTCTATCAGGAACATTTTATCTTTGCCCTCCTGCCAAGAAGGAAGAAGAAAACAAAACCACAGAGGATGAATGATAGTGTGGGGTTGAGAAGCAGATCGTGGAAAAAAGGTTGATTTTTTAGGCAGGGAGGGTCCCAGACATTGGATGGTGACTGCTGCCATGTTTTCTCTTGATGAAAGAAAAGAAACATTTCATAGCAAAGCCTTCCCGAATTATGATATTCTCTCCTAAAGCAATTGTCCTGGTAGGATTAGGCAGTAGCCTCCTCTAGCCTGGCTGCTGGATGCAACTTACATGCCACTGTCTGAAGGCCCAAGACAAATGGTTCACTGAATTTTCCTTGTTGGCATGCCCTTTACCCCAGAACCCTGTCTGGGCACCCAGCATTGCCTGGGGTCTGCCCTGACCTCCTACTGAGAATGTCTAAACTTACAGCTCTGCACCTAAGGACATCAAATATATCTCATTTATCGAAGTTATCTGTGTTAACAGAGTAGACCCAGATAAATAATTCCTGAATTGGGAAGGGGAAGAAAATAAGGAAGAAAATGTCTCCCCCAGGAGGGTGAGTCACTTTCCCGCGAATCTGTCGCAGATACGAGGGTGGTATGTCCCACCTGTGTCGACGTGGGCTAGCAAGCATCACTGATGGCCTCTCCAGTCTCAGCCAATCCTAGGCTCTCGTTTCTTCTTCAGATTTCACCTACTAATATTAGTAGCCACCAGTGGATCTTGCAGCAATTATTACTATGGTATTTGCTTTGTGAGGATTTTCTATTTCCCTCATTCCTTCTACATTTATTAATTAGAGTTCTTCTCTAAGCAAGTGCCAAATTTGAGAATCGTCGTTTTCAACAAGTCACCTACCTGTCTGGAATGTAGCTGACTTGCTTGAAAATCTCTGGCGTAGTAGCTATTTCCATACTGCCATGTGAATTAGAATTACCTGGCAAGCTTGCAGAAATGCAAACTCATAGGCTGGATTCCCCAACAGATTTTGACTCAAGGAGTCAAAACTGCATTGTCGTTAAGAGTACAAATTTTGGAGGCGCCTGGCTCAAATCCCATCATTTACTAGCTCTGTGACCTTGGGCAAATCACTTCACTCTGTAAGCCTCGGTTTCCTTAATTTTAAAATAGGGGTTTAAAGAAATGTAGGTGCCCCAGTTAAATAAGGATTTTTTTGCTCATCACTTAGCACAGTGCCAAGCATCACGTAAGTGCTCGGCAAATGTTATCTGCTGCCATTATTGGATGGAAATGGGAAGGGCAACGGGAATTTGCAACTTAACAAGCATCCAGGAGTTGTGATGCATACTCGAGAAGGGTTGTGGCCAAGCCTCCTCCCAACCTCTCTGAGTTCTTTTGGAGACAACATCCTGGGCTTTGTGGTCCACGCTCCGGGCAAGACTCCCTCAAGGCCCTTGCATGTTGAGATGCCTGCCTGTTTTACCTGGCACTGCCCTTACAGCGGGAGGCCTTAGACTCAAATCCCTTCTGTTTTGAGATCTTCGTAAGCCTTGCCCAAACCATTTCGAGTG